CTCTCTCTCTCTCTCTCTCTCTCTCTCTCTCTCTCTCTCTCTCTCTCTCTCTCTCTCTCTCTCTCTCTCTCTCTCTCGCACACACACACCCACAACTGTTTCTAGTGCGCTCATGTGCTGTTTACTTCAGACTCCCTCTCCCCTGTCATCTCGGATGCATCTGAACTTGGCTTACTCTCGCCTAACGAAAACCTAGCAACTCTTGTACAACTACACTTGTGGTTTTCGTGTGTTTCTCGAACATGCGTCTCCTGTGCCACGTCGACATGAAAAGAGAATTCAGTGCGATCATCCACACTCTCTATGTCTCTCTCTGTGTCTCTGTCTATGTCCCTGTCTCTGTCTCTGTCTCCCTCTCCATCTCTCTGGCGCGCTCTTTTTATCTTTGTCAGCTCTGTCTAGATCGTAGCGAAGCGACTCACAGCCGAGACACTCCGGATGGATCAGAAATGTGGTGGATGATGGTACAATGTTTCTCTCTCTCTCTCTCTCTCTCTCTCTCTCTCTCTCTCTCTCTCTCTCTCTCTCTCTCTCAGTTTCGCAAAAAATACTTATTGAAATGTGTCCCAAAAAGCACAGGGGAAGCTTCAAACTGAAGGGTCTATACTAGTTCGACACTTCGGATACGTCCGTAACACGAAATGTTGTCGGTGACTATACGGTGCTTGTCTTCTCCATCTCTCAGCCCTCTGGCGTGCTAATATGTCATTTCTTGTGGGCTTCCTCTCTGTCAATCTCCTGTGATCTCGGATATATCCGAACTTCGCTTATCTGCGAAAATCACATTGCCTTGCTGCTCTTCTGCAACGATCGTCTGAAATGCTTTTAAAAGCGAGGCTGATGATCTCTGCGTGTGCTCGACCCTGCGTCGTCCGTGCGGCATCTCGAGAAAATTAAGTACAGTCTCTCTGAGACACGCTGTCTCTCGCTCTTTCTGTCTCTCTCTCTCTTTCTATATCTCTCGCTCTTCAAATGTACACGACCATTTCTTGCGGACTTCCTCTGTCTGTCTATCTCCTGTGATCTCGGATACATCAGAGCTTCATTTATCTTGGAAATCCACATTACCTTGCTTCTCTCTTACAACGATTGTCTGAAATGCTTTCAAAAACGAGGTTGATGGTCTACGCGTGTGCTCGACCCTGCGTCTCCTAAAAATTAAGTACAGTCTCGCTAAGACTCTCTGTCTCTCGCTCTTTCTGTCTCTTTCTCGCTCGCTCTTTCTATCTCTCTCGCTCTTTCTCTCTCTCTCTTTCTATCTCTCTCGCTCTACACATGTACACGATCATCGGTGCAACACTCACATTCATTTTGGTCCTCACACTTCTAAATACCGGTCATCCTACTCCTCTAAGTCTGTGAAGAGTCACAACTCGTTTTACTCACAAACTCGAGTTTGTGTCATTATACCGTTCTGATTCGGATGAGTAGGATGCTCAATTCCAAGTGAAACTATAACACAGTGTAATATATTACTCTGTTCTGGTGTTCCACATCTGGACACAGGAGATATATGTACTGTGGCAGCAGTACATATAGCACAGTGGTAGCAGATATATGTATTGACTCAGAGGCGTATAACACAGTGTATACTCTGCTGTGGTGTTCCACATCTGGACACATCCGAACCACGAAAGGAGCGCAGCAAATATATGTACTGACTGTGCTCCTCGCCTCAAAGCTGATTTTACTCCTTGTTCGGATGTATCCGGATCTGGAGTACTACACCAGACTATACACTGTGTCATAAATTCGTTTCAAAATAGTACACACAATAATATATCCGGGCTTGGGACCTCAGCCCCCCCAAGATGCCGATACGCGTGCGGGTCCGATAGAGGCGTATTACCGCGCGTACCCCCTATGCTACAACGAACAAGAAACGCCCTCGGCTGGTCCACCTATGCTCGACGGGGATACGCCCACCGAAGGGAGGTGACAGCTCCCGTAAGATGTAGGTAAGTCGTGCCTCGCGTAGGCCCTATCCTGCCGTAGGGGCTCGCGAGAGGTATGGCTGGCGCAATCGGTCGGAGCGGCTTAAGGAAGCTCCACATGTATTATCTGGGACGAAGGATTTAAATCAACTCCTGCGTGACGCGGCCGGAAGGGTCCCTCGCTGCCCTCGTGCGGTGGCGGACCGATGCGCTCGACAGCGCGGTTGCGTCTGTGACCTACGTTGACTGGATGGTTGACTATAATAGAGAGTGCGTGGGCGCGCGGATTTGGGGCGCGCGTGATTCTTTTGTGTTGTTGATCATAAAGCCGGCATGGACGTCGGTCATTTTGTTTAATGATATTATTTATACCCATTTATTTTTGAGTAGGCAGGAAGTAAGGATATCTTCCTTTGATTGGTACGTTCGACCGGGGCGAACGCGCGTGCGAGGACGACGGCATCGACATCGACGGTGCGACCTTTTGCGGTAAATAGGGCGTATAGGGTGGCGCGCGGGGCAGCCACGGTGCGGTCCGGGCAAGCCGGCGTGAGTGCCTAGCGACGGTGCGCTGGTGGTAGACAGGAAAGGGGCGTAGGTTGTACTTCCCAGGCCTAGGCACTGGGCGGTACCACTTCATATTGGAGTCCACGCCTATTTATCTCAGGCTTGGGCTTAGCCCCATAGGTTATGGTGTTGAACTATTGCTACGGTGGTTCAGGGATCGAGTCGGTGGGCGTCGGCGCGGCAGCGGCAGAGTGACATGGGGAAAACCGAGGGGGTTGAGGGCCCGACGGGG